GTTTCAGGTTACTTCTGCCTTGCAGGTGAAACGTGGCCTTGACTCTGACCCACTTCAGAGGCAGTGCCCAGTGAGTGGAAAGCAGCCCAGTGCCCTTGACTGTGTGTGTGCCTCGGCGTGGAGCTGGCACTCCTCCAGCAGTCAGCCGTGTTGACAGTGTTCTAGGAAGGGGTCCTTGTCAGTCACCCCCTGGGGCGGGCTGCTGTGTGTCAGGCTTTGGGGTGCTTCCCCTCCCGAGCTTACCATCCTTTGTCCCTGGAGACAGACAGGCCTAGGGCCTTTCGGCTCAGCCACTGCCCTGGGGGCTGACACAAGCAGCTTTGCTTGCCAAGCCGCTGGACAGCTGCCCCACCCCACCCCCACCCCACCCGTGCCCCAGACGCACCGGGCCTAGTCCCACCTCTGCTCAGGCCGCTGGACAGCTGCCCCAACCTAATATGTGGACAAAGGAGGTATAGGACTAGAATGATAATATAATAAATATAAGAAACAATTTTAACTCCCCCGTGCCCCAGACACACTGGGCCTAGTCCCCACCTCTGCTCAGGCTGCTGGACAGCTGCCCCTCCCCCGTGCCCCAGGCACACCGGGCACCTCTTCCAACCCCTTCCTGCTAACGCACATCCTGGGAGGCAGGGGTGAGGCCCCGGGTGGTTGAGTTCCTGGCACCCATATGCGAGATCCAGGTGGAATTTCTGCTTCTGGCTTTGGCCTGGCCCAGCCCCAGCTATTGCAGGCATTTGGGGATTGAACCAACAAACACCCTCCTCTCTCTCTCTCTCAGCCCCCCTCCCTGCCAGTCTACCTTTAGAATAAATAAATAAATAAATCTTAAAAAGTAACTAGTACCAGGGGCTGGCGCCATGGCGCCATGGCACACTAGGTTAATCCTCTGCCTGTGGCGCCGGCATTCCATGTGGGCGCCGGTTCTGTCCCGGTTGCTTCTCTTCCAGTCCAGCTCTCTGCTGTGGCCCAGGAAGGCAGTGGAGGATGGCCCAGGTGCTTGGGCCCTGCACCCGCGTGGGAGACCAGGAGGAGGCACCCGGCTCCTGGCTTCAGATTGTCGCAGCTCCGCCATGGCAGCCATTTGGGGAGTGACCAATGGAAGGAAGACCTTTCTCTCTCTCTCACTGTCTAACTACCTGTCAAATAAATTTTTCAAAAAAAGTAACTAGTACCATCTGGGTGCAGGGTGGAGCAGTTGGGTAGATGTGGACAGTGGGTCTTTAGGGCAGTGGGCAGAAATCTCCAGAGGTCTGAGGGTCAGAGAGAGCGGTGGGCCCTCGTCTTTGGATGACTCCACACGGGCCAGTTCTGTACGGTTGCCAGGTGAGTCGGTGTCGAGTCCCCACCTCCGTTCCTCCACCTCCCTCCCTCTCTGGCCAGGCCTCAGCGTCTCTTGAGCTGCCACAGCTTTGAGACAGAGCCCAGGTCTGGTGAGAGGTGACGTGGCCGACACCTTGGCGTTTGCAGCTCCTCTGCCCAGGCAGGGTGCCTCCGGGCCCCTGGGCTGTCCTGCGGGAGCGCCCTTTCCTCCGTGCCCTGGCATTTGGGCGGTGCTCCTGGGAAAGTGAGGCCCTGCTGCGAGCACTGTTGACCAAGGTGGGCTCTGCCTCAGGCCTTCACCAAGCACGGGGTGGGTGGGGTGCAGTAGGAGATGCAGATGTTCACTGTGAGTCCGGGCCAACGCCCACGGCACCCCCAGGGCCCCTCGGGCTGCTGGGGTGAAGGGAATGGTGTCCTTCGTGGTGCTGAGCGTGCGTGCCTTGGCCAGGTGTGCGTGCCAGCACCTGAAACTGGCACCAGAGCCGGCCTCTCGTCCCTGGTCCTGTGTGACTCGGACTCGAGTAACCATCCCTTGGGAGGTGACTCTGAGCTGCTTGTCTTTGGCTCACCTCTCAGGTGTGGCCAGCACACACTTCAGAAAGGGGAACAGTTTCTGAGCCCCGGATCCTGCAAGAGACCAGGGCCTCTGCAAAACCACAGCCACCCAGGCGTGAAGTACTGCAGGCCGGTTCTCCAGCATCGCGTGTCTCCCAAACCTCCCTTCTCACTCTGTGCAAGTTGCAAGAGCCACCTGGGCAGACAGCCATCGTGTTTGGAGCAGAGGAGGGTGGGATGGGGACTGCGGAGGGAGGGCTGGCCAGACCCAGAGAGCGAGTTCAGGCAGTGTGCCAGGGACAGTGGGACGCAGCCTCGCCCTCTAGGAGACAGAGGTGTGTGGAAAAGCTGGAGGAGCCGCCAGGCAGCTCGGCAGACCCGCCAGGCCGTCTCAGCGTCGGCCGTCAGCCTGTGATGAAGGGCTGGGTCTAGAGAGGCTCCGTGGTGGAGGCGAGACTGGGCCTGAAGATGGAGGGTGGGAGGAGGTGGGGGAGGAGGGGTGTGTGGTGTGTGTCTGTGTCCATGTGTGTGCCGACACTGACCCTGGAGGGGAGACGGGGTGTCTGTGTGTCTCTGTGTGTGTGTGTGTGGTGTGTGTCTGTGTGGGTGTGTGTCTGTGTCCCTGTGTGTGCCGACACCCTGGAGGGGAGACAGGGTGTCTGTGTGTGTGTGGTGTATGTCTGTGTGGGTGTGTGTCTGTGTCCCTGTGTGTGCCGACACTGACCCTGGAGGGGAGACGGGGTGTCTGTGTGTGTGTGTGTGTGGTGTGTGTCTGTGTGTGGTGTGTGTCTGTGTCCCTGTGTGTGCCGACACTGACCCTGGAGGGGAGATGGGGTGTCTGTGTGTGTGTGTGTGTGTGGTGTGTGTCTGTGTGTGGTGTGTGTCTGTGTCCCTGTGTGTGCCGACACTGACCCTGGAGGGGAGACAGGGTGTGTGTGTGTGTGTGTGTGGTGTGTGTCTGTGTGTGGTGTGTGTCTGTGTGCCGACACTGACCCTGGAGGGGAGACGGGGTGTCTGTGTGTGTGTGTGTGTGTGTGTGTGGTGTATGTCTGTGTGGGTGTGTGTCTGTGTCCCTGTGTGTGCCGACACTGACCCTGGAGGGGAGACGGGG